TCTTGAATTGTTGTTGAGACTCATTTTTGTGCCTTGGGGCCTATTTTCAACCCAAGTTTGTAACCGGCCCTCTCTGAGTATCAATATCTAGTTTTTCTAGATAAATTTTGCTAAAATTTACTCTTAAATTCTTTTTAAAGATTATTATATTATTCATTTTTCCAATCTATTTTATTTTGCCTTATTTATGGCCCTACAAAGTAAATAGAAGCCATTTTTCTAAAAAAATAGCATTACTACTAAAAGTTATATTATCTTCCTATCTTTTATCTATATTTTTTTACTTTATTTTTTAACTTGGATCTTCTATAATAAGATCCATATTATTATCTTTTACTATATAGTCGTGTTACAATATTACAATGGTCCCTACTATGGTTAGACGCCCTTGTTTTCATTCAACGCTTTTAGTAATGTGGCTGCACTTCTCATTTGATATGTATGCTGGTATTTTTCTAAACAATTATTAACCTTGTGGCCAAATTTTCTACAATATAAGTATAGGCCAAGTTTCCTTCGATGATTTTTTTCTTGATCAGAAAGAGGTTTGAAGTGAATTGTATCAATTTGCATATCTTCAACTTCCAAATGCTCATTAGAATTGGATGGTGAAGAAGCTGCAAAATAATTGGTGTATACATGTAGCATAATTAAAGAATTTTTATTTTTTTGTCATTGAAATAAATGGTTATTGTACTTCACAGCTTGACTAATAGCTTCATTGAGTGTTTGAGGATCTAGCATAGACAACAATAAGTCCTTGACATCATCTCTTAATCTCTAATGAAATTAGCTTATTAATGCATCTTCTCTCCAATTTATATTACATACTAATTGTAAAAAATCTGAAGCATATATTGATATAAAATGCATTCCTTGTCAAAGGCTTTGAATTTTAGTTGTTGAAGAATAAACTTTATCATGTTCACAAAATGCTTCTGCAAACGCTATCAAAAATGCTTCAAAGTTATGCAATATAGGAAAATTCTTTTCAAACAATAGAGCAAACCAAGATAAAGATTGACTTGAGAGCAAGATTCCAACCAAACCAACACGAGATGCTTCAATAGAATATTATTGAGATTGAAGCAAGGTGATTAATTATACTTGGTTTATAAAGCCATGAAATTTTGAGCAATTCTTATCAAACTTTTCTGGAAGGCTGATCCTTGGTTCTTTTGCTATTATTGTTGTCAAAACATTGCCTTAAGTGGATGCACCTCTTATGTTTGTTGAAGCAGACATGGTCATTTGAGAATTTGGAACCTCTATTGCCATTTGATGTGGTGTTTGAGGCACTCCGGCTCCTTGACTATTATGTATCGTCATATATAGTTCTTCATTCTTCTTCAACAAAGTTTGTGTTTTGATAATCAATGCTTCAAGAACATTAGTAATAGAATCTAATTTAATCTCTTTAGAGTCTATCATATTGATTTTTGTATCTTTTGCTATAAAAAATCAAAGAAACACAAGCATTTAAAGGAAAAAAAAAAAAAAAAACTTAATCTATAGTATAAAGAAAAAAAAAACAAAAGAATATTAAGAAATGAACAATATTAGTCTAAGAGAGGGTAATCCACAACCTTTAGAATGCTGTAATACTTCCAAGAAGAGGGATAATCCATTCTTTATCAAGAAAGATGAAGTTTTTGATATTATTTTATGGTAGTTTTGACGAAATATTAGAGACCATATACAAGACAAGGATTCAAGACCAAAAAATGGAGTTAGCTCAACATTAGAACAATAACTAGATACAAGATAAGAAGGTCCTAGCTAGACCAAAAGAAGTGACTTGTCAAGACTGAGGATCCCCTCAACCTCGACTCCTATATATATTAGGTTCTAAAAAGCTTCTTGGAGAGTTTTCATGAAGCTTAGAAACAAAACAAGCCTTAGATCCTTCTTTGGTAACTTTCTAAATCATCTAAAGCATCCTAGAATCTTCTAAAATCTCTTAGAACCTTCTCAAACCTTCTTCGGTTGTATGTCCGTGATATTTTTAAAGAATATATTTAGAACACCATCAAGAATGGTTCTTACATCCAATAATATTACCAAACATTGAAAGACTCTTCTAAGGTTATAAAACAAAATATGTTATATCTTGCCAAATATTTGAATAAGAATATGTCATTGCTAAGGATCTTCATCTCTATTATTTTGTCTTAAAGGCTATAATAATTACAACGTCTAATTCAATAATTCAATAAATGATAGCTTTTAAGTTGAATATTAAGATTATTGATTTTTTTTTAGCCTCATAAATACAAAAAAATTACAATCAGAGATAGAAGATAAAATATGATATTTATTAAACCTAATTTTATTTACAATAATAAATTATTTGACTCTTCATCTTGATTTTGATGGATGTTGTCAATAAAAAATATAAACTTTTTGTATTGTATTTATAAGATTCTTTAATAGCTTCTACATGTATTTAGTAATATCATATTTGTGCCAATATATAAGATATTCCAACCTATTCCAATGCTGTTGAGAATCTAAGACTTCTTCAACTTCAAATTTTTGATTATTATTCACTTCTACAAAAAAGACTACCATTTTTTTTTTTTTTCTCATAAATCCATTGTCTTATATAGCTCAAAAAGAGATACATGGAACATATAATGAATCTTTTTAGATTTCAGTAGTTGTAATCAATATACAATTAGTTTTATTTAGTCATGAATAGAAAATAGTCAAAGTTATAATGATCTAACTTGTCACAAGGGCAAGTAAGTTTGATATTACGATAATATAGAATTAAAGTTTTTTTTTATGATATGCATGTATATTAGACTTTTGATTTTCTTGAACTTCTTTTAAATATGCCTTCATATAAGTATATAACTCAAATAAACAAAAAAAAATTAGATGTCAAAAGTATCAAATTACAGATGATAATTATAATTAGAATAATAAAGTATTGATTAACTAGTAGAATATGTTTTTTTTTTTTTATGTAAAGTCTTGCTTGAGAATGTATCAAGTACTTAGTTATGAAAGATAAATTAGAAATTGTAATAACAAGGTTCTAATTAATTTAATAGAATCCTAAATAAATCCTAATTAAAGCTTAAAAATCATAATGAAATCTTGATCAAATCTTAATTAAATCCAAAAAAAGTCTTTAAAAAATTATAAAAGAAACATAAAAAATTCTTAATTTTTTTTAAAGAAATCATAAATAAATTTATAAAAATCGTGAAGAAATAATAATTTTTTTTTAAAAAATAAATCCTAATCAAATCCTAATTAAATCTTAATCAAATTCTAAATCCTAAATAAATTCTTAATAAAATCTTAAACCTTTAAAAAAACCATAATAAAATCTTGATCAAATTTCTAAATCCTAAATCAAATCTTAATAAAAACCTAATCAAACTTTAAATCTTAAATAAATTCTTAACTAATTCTATAATAAATTAAAACTTTAATAATTAATAATCTAATTTTAGTTTTTGATTCAGAATTTATATACCTCTTAATTATTAAATTGACGATAAATATAAACAATTTGAAGAAGATAAAACTTATCAAATAAAAGATAAATTCCATAATCCACTTAGATGCTACTTGGAGTTTGTCTAAAATATAAATGCCAAATTTCTAGTATTAATATCTCTTTAATTTATTATCCAATGGCATTTAAACTTTCTACAATTTTTGAATATTAAGTCTAATACTATTATACATTTTTTTTTTTTTTTAATCCAACTAGAAAGATATTACAAATCTTAAAGATCTTTATTAATCTTCTAAACTCCAATTCTTGAAATTTGAATACTTTTAAATTTTAATAATCTTCAAATAAACCATTTAATCAAAGTGAAACTTAAAAAAAAATTCAACTCAATAATGATCACGCAATTACAAAATTTTGCCTATAGATCATTTATCAATCTCTCAAATTTCTCCAAAGTGTAAATTTTTTATATTTCTTAAAATCCAAAGTCATTCCAAAACAATCTTGACTTTGTAAAGCCTATGCAAAGTCTTAATAAACTCAAATCACTCAAAGCCAATGTTTAAAGAACATTTCTCTAATTTTCTCTCAAATCTCACTCTTTAATCAATTGAAGAACCTTAGAACTGTTGTAGGAGTACAAATTTGTGCCTTGGAATCTAATTTTGACTCTAATTTATAATTGATTCTCTTTGGATATTAATTTTGATTTTTTAAGGTAATGTTTGTTACAAACTATTCTTATTTTCTTTTAAAAGATGCTAGTATTAGTTATTTTTCTTATCTACTTTGTATTGCATCTTTTACAGCCGTATTAAGTAAGTAGAAGCCTATTTTTGTAAAGACACACCATTAGCACTCACTAAATTTATAACCTATTTGACTATTATCTATACTTCTAAAATATTTTGTTGCAATATTTTTAATTTAATTCTTTTAATATATATATATATATATATATATAAAATATAATAGCCTTATAATAATACAACAATTCTTTTGTCCTACAATCCTTCATATAATGTCTTCTTCACCAAGAAAGCCACCACTATACCCTAGCTATATTATTTTGTGGCAATTATCCTTTCCGACACAATAATCTTGTTGTTGGTAGTAATTCAAATGTTGAATATGAATTTAAGAGTATAAAATATTAGACCAAACTTTAGATTGAAACATATAGCTTAATTTATATCAAAACGTTGTATAATATCTAGCAATTCATAATTGTTGCCTCACTTTGGACTACAAAGAAATACAGTGCCTTCAATGTTACCTTCACACTTAATCAAAAACCAAATAGGATTCTTCTTTGCTTCTGTTGCTCATTGTTTATTATGAGCAACGTAGGCTTAGGCCAATTGGTATCAAATTGACAAACTATAGAATCATGTACACACAGAGTACACCATTGTTTGTTTGTTAGAAGGTGCATTATCGTCCTTTGGATGATACAACCCATCAGTGTTCTTTTCATCCGAGCCGTCCAGAGTTTCAAGCCCATCACAGATCTTCCACCCCCTTCGTCCCCTTGTTCACTTTCCTTCACCCTCTCGCAGCGAAACCCTCCCAGCAGTTTGGTCTCTTCTCGCTTTGAATTACTCGAATCTGCGCTTACATACATGACGCCGTGACATCTCTGTGCCGCATACCAACAATGTGAGAGCGAAGAGCTGCGGACAATAGGTAATCCCTTGGTTTCTCTTTCTTTTGGTTTCGAGATTGTTATGATGGCTTTCTATGCATATCCTATACAAGCGCGTGAACAATCAAGAGGTTTTGGATTTTGAAGCAGATTGAATATTATAGATACTGTAACTTATGATAATAATTTAGCAGAAGTCCGAATCTTTTGCTATGGACTTGGGCTGTCTGGCATTCTTTCATTGATGTGTATTCAGTATTTGTTTCTCTGTTTATTATTTTTGAAATTCTCGCTTCAGGGATGAAGATTGATAAGAAGTTGATGGCGCATTGAACAGCATATCACAATTGTATCCTGGCTAGGCTTATGTGCAATCGAATTGCGAGATAGGAGCTGATCTGAATGATTTTAAGGACAGAAGTCTTCTATAACCTGGAATATGGTGAGAACATCTTCAAACTTGTTCATCTACGAAGATTCTTAGTCCATTTTGAGGATTGAGCTTCCTTTAACTCACGGTTGCAATCTCTCTGTGTCATATGTCTTGAAGGACTTAATGCTCTCAATCTTTTTGTGTCATATATCTTGAAAGACTTAGTGTTCTCAACAGAAGATCTGACCTGGAGCTCTTCCACTGCAGGTAATACAGAACTTTAGTCGAAGATTACATTACACTTGCAATGCTCTTGATTGAGCTATCCGAAGAACTTCATACTCAGATTTGGTAACCTCCCAACAAACTTCACCAGACTTATTATCAGAGTCAACGCATCAGCTGCCTCGAGATAAGAAATTTCTCCAGTATCATCGATCAATCACAACAAGAAGGATGACATAGGAACGACTGCAGGAATCTCTGTTGTAAGAGCTAAGTGTCACGAATATCTGAGAAAAGTAGCAAAAAACAGCACTTTCACCTTTGAAGAGGAATACCTGAAGCATAACTGCGGTTGTCCGAACCAACCAACGAGTGCAAGCTTCCATTCACTTGTAATACGTTTTGGAAGGCCACGTCTTTCACCATCGACAACAAGTCCAATTTGGAATGACACTTATCAGATAACGTCGTCCTGGGCAAGCATGTGATAGACAGAAGAACGGGAAAGGCGATCCTGGATACTAGTTTTTTTTTTTTTTTTTTTTTTTTTTTTTTCCTTTCTTCTTGTGTTTTTTTCCGCTTCTATCTCACCATCTTCTATTTCATGCAGTTGGTCACCCAAGCCGGGTGAATCCTTTGTTATATTTTTTTAGCTTACTTCTGATACTGATGTTGAGTAGATATTGTAAGCCCTGTGTGTGTATAGTGCTGAATACAGTAAGGTACACCATAGTAGGTTCATTATTGGGTCACCTCGGATTTGCTTGAACTAGTCTCTTGCATTCATTGGTGAATTTTGGATTTTGAGGTAGAAATCCTCGTGTTGGAGCCTCTCCATCTTAGCTTCCCGACGACCCCAGAATCAGTCAAATTGGAATTAGAACGAAAATTTTTGGCAATAATTCAAGTGGTCAACTGCCCCTTCGCTCCTTGGATTATCCAACCAACTTATGAGAGAAGCAATGATCAATTGTCAAATATTGGATTGCTACAAATACTAGTGATGTTAAACTCCAGCAACAAGCGAAGGATTGTTCCAGCAGTTGGTGTCGTAGTCTAAGGTGAGAAAGCGCGTTACTTTCCCTTGTTTGCATAAATTCCCTTATCCCCCTTGATTTTACCAGTTAATTTACATCACATAATCTGGTTTATTTTTAGAACTAGTTCAGTCAAAAATCTAATCGTGATACATTTCACATTTGACTAAACTATTGTAAATTATCTTCATTTACACTTAATTTGGATGTTTGTCTTTGGTACACCGTTGTTTGTTAGTAGGCTCATTCTCGTCCCTTGGATGATACAACCCATGAGTGTTCTGTTCATACTATCTAGGGTTTCAAGTACACCACACATCTTTGCCCCCTTAGTACTTTTGTTCACTTCCCTTCGCCCTCTCGTAGCAAAACCCTCGCTGCCTTGTGCTCTCTCCTCGCTTCGAATTACTCGAATCTGCGCTTGTAGACATGATGCCGTGACATCTTTGTGCCGCATGCAAACAACGTGAGAGCGAGGAGCCATAGATGGTAGGTAGTCATGTGGTTTTTTTTTTTTCTTTTTTGGTTCCGAGATTGTTATGATGGCTTTTTGTGTTTCAAGTATGGTGCTAGAGGTGATGCCTGGAAGCCAGACAATAGGCTTGATCGTTCGTAAGGTCATGTTTGGTGTATCCCATGTAAACGCGGGAACAATCAAGAGGTTCTGGGTTTTGAAGAAGATTGAATATTGTAGATACTTATGATAATAATCTAGCTGAAGTTCGAATCTTTTGCTATGGACTTGGGCTGTCTAGCATTCTTACGTTGATGTGTATTTAGTATTTGTTTGTTATTTTTGAAATTCGGGATTTAGGGATGAGGATTGGCAAGAAGATGACGGTGCATTGAACAGCATATCACAATTGTATCTTGGGTGCCGTCGAATTGTGAGATAGGAGTTGATTTGAATGATTTAAAGGACGAGAGAGTTCTTCATGTTGGAATATGGTGAGAACATCTTCAAACTTGTTCATACATGTTCATCTACAAAGATTTACACAGGGTGGATTTTTCATTGATTGATTACTTTATTTGCGTCATTTGTATAATGAGTGATTTAGAAAACACAAAGGATTAGAGAAAAAAAGCTTATAAACTTATTAAGAGGAGGTGACATTTTGAACAAAGTAGTTTTATGTCATATCAAATTTATAATAAAATGTCAAGAATTAGTGTTATTAGATAATTATTGAAAGATGGATGGCATAATGAAATAATATTCTAGTTTAATGTTTATCAAAGATATGAATCAATTTTGTTTGATTGAAGAATCTGTAATAATTTATATATAAATTAGTTTTTTAACATGTGTATTGTCATTGTGTGAAGGTTTTGTGGCAATCAAAGAATATTTCAAAAATCTATGGTTGCATGAGTAAACAAAGGAGTGTACTCAAGAATCAATTGTTAGTTTTATTTTGAGGTATGAACATCATTCATATTGATTTTGTGTAGATGATGAGACATTTGAGATGAATGTTTATATATATATATATATATATATATAAATATATATAGAAATACTTGTTATGTAGAAAATAATAAGAGATAAGAAAAAGTTAATAAAAAAAATCACAAATGTAATTAAAGATTTATTTAGTCTACATGAAGTTTATTAGTAACATCTTTGTTATATTAAATTTTTTGGTGATCAAAATTTATTGAAATGTTGTAATATGTGTACTAAGGTTTTATTCATGTGATGAAGATGAATTATACATATTATTCAAATATTTTCCATGGGCTATCTTGTAAAGATGTTTATGAAGCATGTCTTAATAATGTGGAGGTTTTTATTTAGTTGTTGTACATTGGGATTTGCACTTGCTATGGAATTTTGTAACAAGTTTGTGGAGGATATTGGAGTTGCATTCAAAGCAAGAGAAGTTAGATATTGGAGATATGCTTACTCAATTCCATGATTACAATCAAGAAATGGAGGTATTATTGAAGAGTAAAGTTGTATTGAATAAAAAACAATGTACAAATATTTGCAAACCACTTGGCCATGTTATCAAAGTATTTGAAGGCTTGAGAGCTTGTAGCAATAAAAGAAGTAAGTATAAAATTTTATTTTACGAATTTTAATATACAACATTGAGGATATACAAGTTGATAAAAGCTTGTGCACAAGAACGATAGTGTGAAGCAAGTATCTTTCAACTGGAAAACAAAGAAATATTTAGAGAGTTATTATGGGACTTGAAGTCTTGTTATGACATGGAAATCCATCTACTATCAAAGGAGTGTCGAAAAAAGATGGAGGATATTACACTTGTATTGTTTGATGTTTCAACTTAGAAAGAAGTGAAACATGATGGTGAAGAACTTCACAAAAGATTGGACCATAAAAGTAAAGATGTTCAATTTAAAGATCATGGCTTGGCAAACTATTTATCAACAAGATTGGAGAACTTGTGGCAAGTAGAAGGTGGAAAAATAGATTCTTTGGAAGTATCAAGTGATATCAAAAGTTTAGAGCTTGGAAAAATTATAAATAAGGGTTCATTTAGAAAAGTTTATAACTCGAAGTGGTATGGACTTGCAACTGCAACAAAAATAATGGATGTTGGTTGGAATAATATGTTCATGAAAGAAGTGGGTATCTTAGCTAGCACAAGCCATCCAAACTTGATCAAATATTATTATGCTACCAAAAGTAATACAAATGAGAATGGAGAGTCTTCAAAGATGAATAATTCAAAGGAAAAAGTATACTTGGTGATGGAATTGATGCAAACAAATTTGAGCAACATATTGGAGGCAAAAAGAGCAATGCCATACTACTTTCTTATTGATGTTATTTATCAAATTGCAAGAGGAATGTGTTATTTACATGACATGTAAATTGTACATCGAGGTTTAAAGCCAGATAATGTACTACTTAATGTTATAAGTGATGGTAAATCTAGTAATGGTTTTTATTATGTTGTTGTGAAGTTGATTGATTTTGATTGTTCAAAGATCAATATGGATAGGAATCCAAAAATTAAAGAAAATATATATATATATATATATATATATATATATGGGACTTTAAGATACACAACTCTAGAGATATTAAAAAGTATAATGGAATCAACAAAGATGTGTGCTTTTAAAGCAGATTTATATTCTTTTGCAATGATATGTTCTAAGATTCTTTCAGGTGAAGATCCATTTGATGGCATTGATACTACAAAAGAATTATTGAAAAAGATTGAAAAAGGTGAAAGACCAAAGTTACCTTCAAATTGTGAAGATTTAAGTAAATTGATTGAAAAATGTTGGACTTTGAATCCTTCCAAAAGACCTAGTTTTGCAAACATTTGCAAGAGACTCACAACATTGAAGCAAAAATACTTGGTGGAAGTTGATGTAGCCAAAACACCTCATTTTGGAGCATTCAAGAAAGAACAAGAAAGAAGTAAATCAAAAGATTTACATGTTAATGATACATTGGTAAATTTTATAGTTGAAATTTGGTGTGATATATATGTTGCATTGGTTTGTTTGATTTCAAGATGTACACATTCAAATATGTGTATTTTAATGATGTTTTGTCTAAATATGAATATGTGGTTAGATTATTATTTTAGAAATTCTGATGTAAATTATATATTTTGTTAACATTATGATTTGATTATTTAAATAGGGACATGATTATGAAGACAATTTAATGGGTATAGAACAATGTTTGTCAAACATCAAACATCTATGCATGAATGGAATAAATGCATTGTGTTTTGTTGGTATAGATGGAATTGGAAAGACTACGTTAGAAAAGACTACATTTGATACCATGCGACTCATGTTCAATGTATCATGCTTTATAGAAATTAATCAACTTCAAAAGAAGGATAATGGTCTTTCAATAATTTGCAAAGTTTTGGACCAAGTCCACTTTCAATCCAAACCAAAGAGTTTAGAAGAAGCACAAGCTATGATGAAAAAATTATTGATGTTCAAAAAGTTCATGTTGGTCTTGGATAATATAAATGACAAGAATCAAATTAATGATGTAGTACTAATGGATGTTCTACATTCTAATAAAGGTAGCATATTAATTGTGACAACTCGAAATTGGGAGGTAGTAAAAGACTACCATACAAATTTTCATAAATTTGATATTCAAGAATTAGACGAAGATGCAAGTTTGAAGTTGTTTATAGCTTATTCTTGTTGGGATGGTGATAAATTGCCTAAAGAACTTAATGAGGTTGGCAAAGAGATTGTAAGATCTTGTAATGGACTACCCTTGAGTTTGAAAGTTTTGAGGTCCTTTTTAGGAGGATAAAAGAGGTTGAGATGTTGGAAAAGGGCTTTGCAAAATTTAAGAAGAGGGAGACCTTTGAATGGAGATGAAATTGATAGTAAATATAAGCTATGGATTGTTTTGAAGATAAGTTTTGATGCCTTAAAAGTTGAGGAAAAGAATATGTTTTTGGATATATGTTGCTTTTTTTGTAATAATGTGAATTGGAGTGGTACAATGAAAGAAACCATAATACAAATATGGACCAACAAGAAAAGTGGAGCTGAAAAGTAAGATGCAAGTATTATTTTGGATATGTTGGTTCATCAATCAATGATTAAAATAGAAAAAGATAGAGTAATAAAAGTGCATGATCAATTACAAGATATAGGACAAAAGATTGTTGAAGAAGAAAAAGAATATAAAGACATACGAATTTGGAATGTAAGTATGATTCCAGTGTATGGAATAACAACAAAGGTAATACTTTCAAATAGTGGTAGAATAACTTGAATACAATTAATAACATAAAATAAATAATTAAACAAAATAGAATACATGATATTTTAACTTTTATTAAGAATAATTTTATATTACTTGTGTATTGCAATATGAAATATGGAAAGATTTATACATAGTTTAAGTATTTGATAAAGCTACAAATTGTAATTTCTAATTATTTTTTTGTTATATTGATTAGTTGGAAGGTATAATTTTTTATTACAATATGAAAGATATCTTGAAAAGGTTTATTATGAAAGGATTATTCCTTCGCTCTCTACGAATACTTATATGTAACATTGATACAGAGCAAAGTGAAGATATCTTTGAAATACTTATATTATTAGTAAAAAATACAAACAAATTAAAAGTTTTGTTTCTTAAAGATGATTATTACCCTCATTTTTTTAGGTATCATAACAACATAATAAAGCTACCCTCTGCTATATGCAACAATGAGTTTTGGAAAGTATTTGAAGAATTGACAATATTGAGTCTAATAGGATTTATTTTTAGTAAAATACTACCTGAAACACTATTTACAACTAGTACATTAATGAGACTTGATTTAGATGGATCTATTGAAATCAAAGTAATACAAAAAGCTTTTAAAAACCTTAAAAATTTAACAAACATGAGAATACTAAATAACAAAACTTTAAAAAAAATATCAAAAGAATAGACAAACTTAACATATCTAAAAATACTTGATATGAGTGGATGCTCAAGCATGATAAGCTTGTCAAATTAATTGATAAATCTTTCTTCTTTGACAACACTTTATTTGAGTGGTTGCTCAAGCTTGGCAAGCTTGCCAAATGAATTGTTAAATCTTTCTTCTTTGAAAAGACTTTCTTTGAGAGGTTACTCAAGCTTGACAAGCTTACCAAATGAATTGGCAAATCTTTCTTCTTTGAAAGAATTGTATTTGAGAGATTGCTCAAGCTTGAGGAGCTTGCCAAATGAATTGGCAAATCTTTCTTCTTTGACAACACTTGATTTGAATGGTTGCTCAAGCTTGACAAGCTTGCCAAATGATTTGGTAAATCTTTCTTCTTTAAAAAGACTTTTTTTGAAAGGTTGCTCAAACTTGACAAGCTTGTCAAATGAATTGGCAAATCTTTCCTCTTTGGAAGAACTTAATTTGCGTAATTGCTTGAGCTTGGCAAGCTTGCCAAATGAATTGGCAAATCTTTCTTCTTTGATAACACTTGATTTGAGTGGTTGCTCAAGCTTGGTAAGCTTGCCAAATGAATTGGCAAATCTTTCTTCTTTGAAAAGACTTTCTTTGAGGGGTTGCTCAAGCTTGACAAGCTCGTCAAATAAATTAGCAAATCTTTCTTCTTTGACAACACTTGATTTGAGTGGTTGCTCAAGCTTGACAAGCTTGCCAAATGTATTGGCAAATCTTTCTTCTTTGGAAGAACTTAATTTGAGTAATTGCTCGAGCTTGGCAAGATTGCCAAATGAATTGACAAATCTTTCTTCTTTGACAGTACTTTATTTGAGTGGTTGCTTAAGCTTGACAAGCTTACCAAATGAATTGGCAAATCTTTCTTCTGTGAATGAGTTGTATTTTAGAGATTGCTCAAGCTTGATAAGCTTGTCAAATGAATTGACAAATCTTATTTCTTTGAAAAGACTTAATTTGAGTGATTGCACAAGCTTCTAAAGCTTGCAAAATGAATTGGTAAATCTTTCTTCTTTGGAAGAATTATATTTGAAAGATTGTTGAAGCTTGACAAGCTTGCCAAATGAATTGGTAAACCTTTCTTCTCTGACAAGACTTGATTTGAGTGGTTACTTACGCTTGACAAACTTACCAAATGAATTAACAAATCTTTCTTCTTTGACAGCACCTTCTTTAAGTGGTTGCTCAAGCTTGACAAGCTTGCCTAAAGAAATGGCAAATCTTGCTATTTTGTCAATACTTGATTTGAGTGGTTGCTTAAGGTTGACAAGTTTGCCAAATGAATTAGGAAATCCTTCTTCTTTAATAATACTTAATTTGAATAGTTGCTCAAGCTTGACGAGCTTGGCAAATTGAGTGATTGAATAATCAATTAATTTATTTATTTTACTTTTAAGAGCTAAAGTTATTTTATGTTTCTAAATTGATAAGTTTGTAAATTAGATTTGGCTAATATTTTTTAAGAGAAGTTTTTTTGATTTCATGTTTAGTCCTAACACCATAGCTATATAAATTAGAATGTTGTTTTTAAAAGATGATATCAATAAGATACTTGATACTTGATAATCTTATTGATTGAATTTTTAAATTTTTAAGTCGTTTGAAAAAAAATACCTTGTAATTTTATTCATGTTAAAAAAATTAAAAATTGATATAAAAAACAATTGTTGATTTTGATTGTATGTGCTTTTTAAAATTATTTGATTTAGACATTATTTTCAATAATTTTTAGAAATTTCTCCTTTTTAAAATTTCATAGTTTTTTTAATGTTATATATATATATATATATATAGTTTTATAATATATATTTATCTTTAAAAGAATTTTAAAAATAGTATTATAATAAGACTTAATTATATTAAAAATTTAGTCTTAGGCTTTACCACAAAAAAAATGAATTGTAAATCTATTAGAAATTGTTTGGCATCCTAGAAATCCTAACAAGTGCTCTAAATCTTTATTTACAACATTTGAATACTATTTTCTTTAAATCTCAAAAATACAAAATCCAAATGTTACAAAATTTAATGTGTGGTTTTACAACAAAGTTATACAAATTTTAAAAAAAATTTAGCCAAATATTTATCTAAATACCTAAGATATGGCTAGAACCAAATCCTTCATGAAATTGGAAAATTGAAAAACCTCAATTTAGAAGTGCTATTTTCAAGCATTCATTGCTCTTCTAATTCGACTCCAAATCTTTTTTTTATTTTGCATGAAAAATGTAGTCCTTTAAACCAACTTGCCAACCGCACAATTTGATCTTCAAAAACTCTTCATGCATGTGCTATACTCCAAAGAATGATAGTTGCTACAAAATTAATACCTTGACTTTGAGAGCCTATATTGTCTTCATAAAATCTTTAAAACACATAAAATTTTTACCTTAATCATATCCAAAATCTTAAACTTAACAATCCTAATCTATGATGTTCAAATGGTCTCAAAAAAGTAACCCTAATTGCTAATAAGGCCTTAAGAAACCTTCATGAAGTCCATTGGGTATGACTTCTAGCTAATAAGAATAGAGATTTTCATCATCCATCTCCATTCATGCATATAATTGGCCTAATTATCTTTTTAACACAAAAATCCTTCTCTCTCTGACTACTTTAAAGTAGTAATTTAATCATATTTTGTAACTAACTAAAATCTAATAATATAGCTCTCACTATATTATATAATAAATTATATATTACGTATATATATATATATATATATGCATTATTTTCACATGGTAACTAAATTACAACACAACAATATGTTGGTAGCTTGTGGAATAAGTTAACTATGTAGTACATATATAGATAACTTATCTTGTAAGTTAAAACATGTGTATAGCAAAATCAACACATGTTGGAGGTCTAATAGAAGATTGCCATATAGCTTCTAGTTAGAGAGTATATATGGAGGCAAGAATAAAGCCTTCTTCACTCTTGTCAATGCTTTTTTAGTCCTTAGTTTTGTTTCAAGTCTTTTTAGTCTTTTTGTCTTTAAGAATAACCATTCTAATTTAATGTATTACGATCTTTGAGTGATTTTTTAGTCTTTTTGAGTGACATAAGAGCATATTGAGATTTTATTTCTTTGAGATTTATGGCCTTGGTAATTTATCAAGAGAGTTAACCTATTTTTCTTGTCTTATTTTAGAAGTGAATAGATTATTCCACACCTATTATTATATTTTAAAGATTATAGACTTTCCACTTTTAAACAAATAGTTTTATTTTTTAAGACTAATTTTTTTTCTTTAAGAGAATAGATTATCCCTCTTTATGGAAATTTTTATTTGATATTAGAAGTTGCAGATTATCTTCTTTTAATTTAAATTTTAATTTTTTAAATTTTTTTATGGAAGAAAAGATTATAGATATTACTCTCAATAGAAGTAAAAATAGTTTTGCAACTATTGCAAATCTTCACAAGCTTATCAATATTCTAAGAATAAAAATTTCATGTATTTCTAACATGAATCATGGAGGTACTATTCCTATACATGTGGAAGAAGTCCAAAGTCTATGCTAAAAAGTTGTGTAATTAAAAGAAGCAAACAGATCAGCTTCAAAAACAAATTCAAGAAGTCTTGCTTCTACATGCATAAAAGAAATAAGAATTAGTATGTTAAAGAAGTTTGATGGAATAAGATCAAAATTTTGAAGATTTTTGCAACAAATTAAGTTCTATTTAAGGTTGTATCCTTCTCAATATCCTAATAGATTTACTCAAGTAGGATTCATAAGTGTACTTTTATTGAGAAGTACTCTTTCTTAGTTTGTATCTTTGATGCAAAAAAGATTCACAACTACCTTATAATTTGAATTCATTCTTAGAAGTATTTTTGATTATATTTAAAAAAAATAATCAAGAAAAGATAATATAAATCATGTTTATATTGCTACAATAAGGATCTTGTTCAACCACCGCATATGCCTTAGCTTGTTTTATAGACAAAGATTTTGTTAAAAAATAAGAGATATCATTAGTCAAAAAAACTAAATCTATACATGTAGAAGTGATAGATGGTTGTTTGCTATCTTTTGGAGATGGTACCTATGAGATCATTCTTTTAAATGTAATAATTAAAGATCATAATAGTATAATAATATTTAATATAATAAGATCTTTGTCTAATCCGATTATTTTAGGATTATCATAGTTAAAAAAATATAGTTCTTAGATACATTGAATTTCTCATAACCTTAATTTTTCTTGTAGTTTGATCCAAAATTTCATTAGTCAAAGAAAAATACATAAGCCTAGTATATCTAAATTTTTATTGATAAGTACAAAAACTTTTATTATTGTGGCAAAAGAAGGATCATCTTTTACTATATATGCTATGGCTATTTTTTATGGTAGAAAGACGTCAAGTGATATTCTTAACCAACATAAAGATTTTCAAGATGTTTTTGAAAAAAAGAATACAGATGTTTTTGTAGAACATTGATCCTATGATTATTTAATTGATTTATAAGAAAGACCTCAACTACCATTTGGACCAATCTATAGCTTATCGCAAAATGAAGTTGCTACATTAAAATAATGTAATGACAAGAACTTAGCTGAGAACTTCATATGCCATTTGAAATCTCCAATAAGATCTCCTATTTCATTTGTAAAGAAAAAAGATAGATCTCTATAGATGTGCATAGACTATTGGAGACTTAATAAGATCACGATCAAAAATAGATATCTTCTACCTCTAATTTCAAGACTTCTTAACCAACTCAATCAAAAAAGATCTACACAAAAAATAGATCTAAAAGGAATATAAAACCTAGTCCACATCGAAGAAAGACATGAATAGAAGACTACTTTTTGAACTAGATATGGACATCTCAAATATAAAATTATGTCTTTTGGATTCAAAAAATGTACCAATTGCTTTTCAATATCCCATAAATGATATTTTTTATGATTTTCTTGATGATTTTATTGTTTGTTATTTAGACAATATTCTAATTTATTCTAAAAATATAAAAAAACATGAATTTTATATTTGTTGTGTATTATAAAAACTTAGAGGTAAGATTGTATGCCAAGTTAAAAAAGTGTGTATTCCTTACTACTCAAATTGACTTCTTAGGATACATCATTTCTAATAAAGACCTAATGATGGATTCTATTATGGATTGAAAGATTTCAAAAATAATCAAAAATATGTAATACTTTTTAGAATTTACCAATTATTATAAGATCTTCATCAAGAACTTTTTTCAAGTTGTGACTCTTCTTATATGTTTGATAAGTAAAGAAAAATTTGAATAGAACAAAGAAGTTGAAGCATCTTTTGAAGCCTTATAGATAACATTTATTTTTATACCAATTTTACATTGCATCAAATTTTCCATGGCATTCTTCATAGAAATAAATGCATCATACTTTGCTATAGATATCATTTTATTATAAATGGGAGAAAATAACAAGCTTCCAATGATAGCTTTTTATTCTAAGAAACTTTTAACAGCTAAAATTAACAATAAGATCCACAACAAAGAGCTCTTTGCAATCAAAAATTTATTTCAAAAATAAGGTCACTATCTAGAAGGCACCTTGAGTCTAGTCACCATATATATAGATTATAAGAACTTCAAATACTTCATATTGGCACATATTTTGAATCGTTGCCAAGTCCATTGGAGCATGTCTTTATCAAGATATGATTTCAAGATCACTTAATGATATAAAAAACAACAAGGTTTGTAAAATATCCTTTTTAAACATTCTTATCTTGCACCAAAAGAAAAAGATGTAGCTTTTTTATTAACAAAGAATAATTTTTTTGAAGCTTGAGAATTTATATCTTCAAGCAATAAAATTAACATTGACTTTTGATTCAAACTTTATCAAGCAAATTCAATCAAATATGTCCTTTGATCCTCTTATCCATGATATCAAGAATCATTCTTCTAAGTCTCATAATACTTTCAAGTTCAAGTTTATTAATAATCTATTCTATTTTAAAGAATAATTATATATTCTAAAAGACAAAGCACGATTACATGTTCTTTAAACTTATCATGACTTTCCTACAATTGAATATTTTAGATAAGACAAGACTTTAAAGCTAATATCAAGAGATTTTTGATGGCCTCAAATGAGAAAGGTAGTTAAAGACTTTATACAATCATATGATATTTGCTCAAGATAAAACATTCCTCCTCATTAACCTTAAGGACTTCTTCAGCCATTACTTATTCTAAAACAACCATGGTCTTCTATTTTTATGGATTTTATAACGGATTTTGTAGTTTGAGGTTCGTATGATTCTATATTGTGATAGTAGATTATTTTATCAAGAAGGCCTGATTTGTATTATATACAAAATCTATCACATGTGAAAAAATAACCAAGTTTTTTTTTACAACATCTATCACTATAATAGATTATCTAAAGATATTATATTAGATAGAAAGATTCAATTTGTATCAAGATTTTGAGAACCCTTTTTAAGATTCTAAAGGTGGTTATAAAGCTCTCTTTGACCTTTTAACTTTATATTAATGGGCAAATAAAACAACTGAATCAAGTTTTAAAGCAATATTTGAGATATACTATTAACTATCATAAAGACTAGATAACTTCATTTGATAATTTTTTTGCCATTGGTAGAATTTTTATA